TACAGCCATCAAAATGTAAACATCTACTTGAATATAGCTGGTTTGTGTGTGGACAAGTTTACTGCCCATGGAATGACACAGGCACCTCCAGAGGGCAATGCAACCCTTGAGTCAATGCATCGCCTTGAGTAAAATTCCAGAGATCCTGATCCCTCACACTTAATTATGAAGAGATCCTACATGACCAGCTTAGGCTGCGATACCTAACTTTAAGGCTTAAGTTAGATGAAGTGAATCCTATGCTTGGTTTTGTTAAAGAGTATTTAATTCAGACACACTTAAATCCAATCAAGGGTCCAAAATTTTGATCGTGGATAAGTATTTGGATGAAAGAAACTGCTGTGTCTTACTCACAGTACATCTCAAATTGTTCTGATATGTGTTGGGAAAGCCAGGGTACGGGTCTGAAATACTGCAAATTTTTGGCTTTTGCAGAGGCCAGTACTCAGCAAATGTGAGGAAGAGCCAAGCAAAACTCTTACGATGAAACTAAAGATCCCCTGGGAGAGAGGCAAATGAACTATTTTTGATGTAACAGGATAGCGTGCCAACAGAATAATTCAGTTGAAACTACTTCCATGTTGTCAGGTCTGGAGGTCTTCCTAGATGTGTCTTCTGTGAAGAAAGACTATTTTGTGCATAAATCTAGGGACAAAAGCAAAATGCACCGGATTCCAAGGGAATCATTTGTTTAAAGGCTACGAGCTCCCTAATATATGACACCTCTCACCAATTGTTACAGACTCAGGCTAGCTAAATAATGTGGCTGGGAATAATGTAAAAAGGGTTTTATTTACTTTAGTGATTTGAAGCTTCCTGTGGAAATAGCTCCCAGGTTTCCTGATGGAAGATTTTGTTTATCTTTGCCAAGCACCATCAGGAATCTCAAAATAAAATGCGCTTAGTGACATTGGGAAACCAGGGAGATAAGGCAGAGCTGTTCCTGTTTCACCCTCTGTAATTGCGAACACACCCATGGGCTTGCTCTGTGCCAGCAAAACAGCCCAAAATGAAGGGAAAAGGGGTGGTCTGGAGCGAAGGGGGCTACCACAGTTAAATTTGGCATAAAGGTGTCGTTGCAGAGACCGTTTCTGTAACAGTAAGCAGGAGAGCTTTCAGAAATCACCTTTCCACATTACTTTTATATAAGGCTCACAGTTACTTTTGAACCTTAAGCAAAGATTTGCTTTTAGAAATAAGTCAGTGTGACAACACCCCAAAAATATCCATTTGACAGGGGCCATAGGAAAGGAAAGCTACAGCAGAGCCCATGGACTTCATGTCCTACACCCTTAGGCACAGGGTATAAAATTAAACCTTACAGAAACACATATGGAAGTTGCACTTCAAGGCCAGAAATAATGAGATTTACAACAACTTAAGAAAGGGCTTGTTCTTACTAGGTCCTTTCTGCTAAGCCTTCTTGCACTTTTTTCCTCAGATCTAGCTTTTCCCTGAAGGGGTGGAATATACCACTGCCAAACTAGGGTTGCTGGGACAAACTCTGCCTTCCAACCACATTCCCAAGGTGTTTGGGAAGTTTCTATAGTTTCTGCCTACAGAAAAGAGATTCCTCACAGCACCACAGCTCCTTCACTGGAGCACATCTGTTTTCTAATCTCCAGGACAAGCCCTGAAGGAGATTGCCTCCAAGGAAAGGGATTCTTCCTGTTTAGACCACGCTTTGTCTCTGTTTGCTCTTTGGAGTCCTTTCTGGCTTGTCCCTTTTACAGAGGGCAGCAGCTCCCATTCCTACAAGGGATCAACTTCTCCTGCTCAGACACTTCTCTTACACTTACTTTTGTGTGGTTCAGGCTAGCTTCATATGGTGCCAGCAGACCCAACAACAAGAGACAAACTAGCCCCAAGGTGTCACACAAGACATGAAGCATTGGTTTTGGACTCATCAGAAGGAAATACTTTGCAGTGTCCTGTTTACATCCATCAGCATTTAGGGCTCTCATTTTTTTATTCTCTCAATGTGTTTTTCAGTAAATGCTGGACGCATTTGTTTCATTGACACGAAACACAGGCCACAGCAGTTTGGTCTCAGCCTGATGGAGAATTACGGTTACATTGCGTGAATTTGATTGATGCGCTGTGTGTGCAAACCAGAAGAGTGATGTGCTATGTGCGCAAACCAGAAGAATGAGCCTAACTTGATTTTTGTAAGTACAAGACATCAGTATTTTTTAAACAAACTGCCTTCAATCAGTGCCACTGAGAGTCAGTGGATGATCAGGATTCCTCATGTCACACAATAGAAGTGCTCAGCTCCAGGAACAAAAAGGACAAATGCATTTCAACTTCACCACCCTATATAGAAAGTTTGCCACCAGTCAAGATATTAAGAATTTCCAAGCCTTAATAAAGCAGCCACTTCTCTTTCTGAACACCAGCCAATACATGAGTCTTCAAAGGAAAGTCATATTATTCTGCATGTTCTCATGCAAGCTTTGGTATCAAGGAGAAGGCTTGCCTTCTATCTCTGGTCAAGACATAAGAATTCAAGATCTAAGTAGGAAACTAATTCCTTCATGTCACTGTATTAAAATATCCAAAACCACTATCAAAACTTCGAAAGGGAGATTTGGGTACAGTGAATGGGGGCCACCAAACTTCAGCTTCATTTTCAGGATCTTCCATGTCACACTTTGAAGACTCAGGAGTAAGAGCTAGAGAAGGCCAAATTCATCACCTTGCACATTAAAAGAGCAACAGCCTCAGTGATTGACTCTCAGTGACTGCTCAAAGTTACCTGTGAAGTCCCCACACAAAATGTGAATACAGCTCCATTGGCACATTAATTTATGGACAACCATGAGTCCTTGTTTAGCTTTTGGTCCAAATAGACACTATGTAAGAGATGAAAGCAAAACTGTGATTTGAGAGTGGGGACAGCAGTAATCTTCAAGGTGGCAAATGTTTCTGTCACATCCATTAATAGAACATGAAGATGTTCTTTCTGTATTTTAACAAACAACCTGCCTGTGTGCCATTTATCTGTTTATACTTCAATAACTACTTCTCACATTTGTTACCAGTTTTCTATATTTATAGACAACTTGCACTTTCTAAATGTGGAAATGTATTAACTACAGCTAGTCAGAATATTTTAAAAATATAAATGTTGGTCTACAAAATCAGGCAGAGTGACAGTTTTCAAAGACTTTTTCTTTGGTTTTTTTTAAATCAAATCTAGTGAGCATGTGTCTATTCTCTCTTGCTATCTCTCAGTATAGTAACAGAGTGAGTTTCACTAAAATAACTCATCAGAATGATACGTGAGAGACTGACAACAAAATCAGATAGGAGAAAAAACAAAAGTTAAATGGGATACATTAAAATTATTCTTCCCTTTCAGCTTCAAGATTATGATTTTGGAATTAAATTACCAGAATATTTTAACCTTTTTGTCTTTTCTCATATTTCAGAAAGAATTGCATGTCTTTAATGACCTACACTGAAAGCTGTCATCAGCCTAAGTGCTCTATGAACTACCACCTTGTTAACAACACGAAAATAACATCTTTCACCAGAAAACAAATCCTTTGTTACGGCATCTGCAGACATTGCTAAATTGTGCAGTAGTTATTCTCAAAAACTCATTGTGGTTTTTAAAGTAATTCTTGAAATAAACGATTTAGGGGGGTTTTTTTCTGAACCTGCAAACACTTGCATACATCTAGTAATGGAAAAATAACTGGAAACATACTCATATGTGCAGCTAACACAATGAGTCTTCTCAGTGCCATAGCCCAACAGACGTCCAAAGTTGTCTTTCTCAGAAAAGTTAACAAAACTCTGTATTTTATACCCTGCCACTTTTCTACCTACAAGCTGCCATAGTCCCTGAGAGCTGTGGGAGGCTGCCCAGGTACCCCAGGCATCCCTCCTCCAGCACCCAGCACCATGCTGCCCATGGACGCTGGCACTGCTTTGGGCACTGCATTGTGAGATCTCCTGGTTGGCAGTAGGTTGAGGCTGTAGACACTAGGAAACTGGCTTACTGGTGTTTGAAAACACAGTAAAATTTCACTTGTGGGATGATTGCAGGTGCCAGGTGATTTAAAAGGGGGAATTACAGGCTGCAGTATTTGTGAGCAATTTATGTCATGGTGGAGTACTTGATGGAGGGGTGAGTCATTTACCAAATTTGGTGTCCTTCTTAGAAATCAAAAACAGTTGCTGTGAAAAACCCTTCTAGTATCACCCAAAAGCATGGTATGAGTTTACATTACAACGCATATGAGCACACATTACAACAATTCTCAAACTGTAGTATATGAAAAAGCCACAACAGCTAATGGTTATAATCCCAAGACCAGGAAACATGTTTGGCTTAAGTGGGGACTAGATCTTACCTGTTACAATAAAGCTGACGTTTCTTCCGGCTTTTCCCACTTTATTGGATGCTACACAACTGTAGATTCCAGAAGATTTGGCTTCAGCTACAACGAGAGTGCTGGCAGTCTGCGAAAGAAAGAAGAGGTTTAGTTCTTGTTGGATCAGGAACTCAGTAAAAGTTTCCCTTTTCTTTTTTCTAAGTCACCATTGACAGTTCCATGATTCAGTCTCTCCACTCATTCAGTGACAGTCACCACTGGGACTATTTAAAGAAGATGTCACAATATACAGTTTTGGAAAGGGTGGAAGAATAACAGGAAACAAGCTCCTTGGGAGACCCTTATATTATCAGAGCCATCATAACCAAAAATCTTTGAATGTGCCTTCCAGGTTGATTTATCTCTTGCTGCTGATGTAATGATAAACTACAAAACATGAAACGTGACACAACATGGTTCACCTGAGATAAGCAGTCTGTAGGGCTTCTAGCTTCACAGTGATGTAAATACATAGTCTAATGGCTTGGGCACTAAGTGAAAGAATAAAGTTACGCAGAAACAACTGAGGTGTCATTCTGATATGGAGCTGAGACACTCGGCATGCACATGGAGCTCAGCAGTGGGATGTGCTCTCAGATACAACTTTGTAGCTTAATATTGTGTCTTTCTGTCACCATTTTACTTCTGTAAAACACGCATTGGCTGGAGTTACAGACAGAGTTGAGACAGTGATGAAAGGAAATTGTGCGGCTGCAGAATCTTGGTGTTTGGAATTATTTGGTTTTTTTTAAAAAACCTTCAAAATAATTTTTGTGTAATTAATACATTCTTTTAAGTCTGCCTGATTGCTGGAGTCCACAGACAAGCGCAAGAGGGTGAGTCAGTAATAAATAAGGACTAGTTATCTACATTTCTACATAAACACTGGCTGAACATTTGCTCTGCTCCTATGTCTCCTACTCAGAGACTTCATGGCTATCCTCAAACTCCTTGTTGAACCTTAAAATAATATAGACCTTCTGGTTTCCCACAACATTCTTTAGTAGAAAGAGTTTATTACTTTTCCTACTACTTGAGCAAACACAGTGGATTTAAGCTGTCTGATTCTGGCTTATTTGTTTTAGAAAACTGCCCTATGGCAAATTCACAACTATAAATCATGCTAACAGCACCTCTACCCTATTAAGGTGCCTCAATGATCAGCTACCTGACTGCTAACAAACTACACCTCATTTCAGGCTAGAATTTTTCTAACCTACCTTTTTGGCTCTTCTGTGAGATGAAGGAGGCTCAGTAATACTAGATAGGTAATTACAGCCCTTAAAAAAATAATCCTGTTTTGCTAAATTCAGTAGACTGACCTCTACAAATTCCTAATTATAAAGTGTGGGTCCAGCCCTGTCTATATTTTGTCATCTTCTTTGAATTCCTTCCAGTTTTTGAACATAATTTTGTAAAGTGTGGACACAGGGCCCAGCATCAGGATTCCTGCACCATTTTATCAGCAATAACTCGGAATAGAAGGAAGTCCCATAACATCTGCCAGAAGGCTAATGTGGGTGGTTAAACACTGCTTCTGCCATCCCAGACTTTCCACCACAGAATCAGCCTTTTTTGTGTTAGTTGGTATTACCTCATAACAACTTTACCCAGGTAGGAACAGTGACACAGTGAAGGAAAATGAAGCTCTTACTCTCGGACTCTAGGACACCTGTCTTTACCCTGCTACATCCAGAAGCAGAGCACCTCTGAGCCTGAAAAATTCCTGTCAATTATTCCTCCAATTAGTCCAATGGTTTGGAATTGTTTTTGTAGTATCAAACTGTACTTTGTACTGACATTATCAGGTATCAGTTTCTAATGAAAAATTGTGCACCTCATTCAAGTTTTAGTGCTCCAACCCACTACGATGTGATTATTACCTTTATTACACTGAGGATGGCACATATGGTTACACTTAAGCAGTATGACTGGAGTGGTTATAGATGATGCCTTTTCTTGCATGTTAAATGACCCTAGAGAATACTCCCCAGCACTGAAATTTAGTGATTTGAACTGGATGCTTTTCCCCTGCATTGTTTTGGTTTTGACCAACTTGCACTGTCCCAAATACTCCTCTAGCATGGGTTGAAGATGACTCCCAACAGGCAGCTTCCATGCAACCAACATCTTTTACAGGGCAAGGGAGATTAATGTTATGAACACAGGCCTTAGTGCCACAGAGCAGTCATTGATACATTTACTTGACTAAGGCAGAGAAAGTCACAGTGTCTAGGAAAAAGCATGACTGACTTTACAACAGAACAGATTATTTTAGAGACAATATGTCTCTGCATAAATCTTTTAGCTTATAAATTAGTCATAAGGATAAGATAACATCTCTTTAAATAGTTTGTGAGCCCTCCAGTGGTGCAGTCTGTGTTCTGCATTGTGGATGCCAGCCAAAACCCACCAGCGAAGCAGTGTGTACAAAACTAAGCCTGGCATGTTGTTGGTTATTGAGCAATTAGGGCTCTGTGAGATCAGTTTGTGCTGCCTGGTTCCTCTATACAGCTATTACTGCAAAAGGAGCAAGAGAAATAGTTTACACAGCCTTGTATCGTCTGGCTTCACAACAGGCCCTGAATTTGCATCCATGTTATATAGAGAAAGTCTGAGCCCAGTTGCCATGATCAGACAGAACAGGGGTCAATCTTTCCTAGCATGCTGGACATCTTGAGCATCATCTGTCCACAAATTTAATTTACCATGAAATTTTGATGCTTTATTCCTCTTTTCTGCACTCATCATCTCAGCTGAAGCACTATACTACATTCTCATCTCAGTGCCAGGGGATAGGGAAGTAAATCACATTCTGCTTTTATTCTGCAGATAAAAGAGGCATCAAGAAGAAATTCTGAGAGGTAGAACAGGAAAGTACAGGTTTTTTCGTGATGGAAACTGATGAGGAAAAGACCAGGGAAGGAAAGAGAATGCCAAGCAACTGGCACAATCATTGTGCTTGGAGCTAGGGTGGGCTGGTCTTCCCCCGGTGGGTCTGCTTGAATTTCTCTTGTCTCAAAGTAGCTTAGATAGAGGATTCTCACTGCTCCAGCTGAGGGCAGAGAAGCAAGAGGAGGTTGCAGAAAATGAAGTCAAGAACACTTGACTCTTTCCTGACTCCCAGAAAGCCTCTGCAGACACAAGCATAAGCATGCTCCATCCAGAGACTGCTGTGCTAACTTCTCTAAACAGCCCATATATTTAAAAAACAAAGTACTGTCCTTCCAGCATTGATCGGGTTAGTGAAAGTTTGCCAAATATTGTTGATTCCCTCCTAGTTATGCTTTTAAGAATACATTTTTTTTTTTTAAATAGGAAATAAATGAAAATATGCTCTTCTCACCCCCTTGGATTTATCTTTGGCTAAAGGAATATTATTTAGGAAGACTCATGTTGAAATATTGGCAGCACACCATTGGATTGGTCTGCTTATGCCAAAGACAGATGATCTGCATGCCTCACATGTAGTCAAGGAGCACCAGTGCAAAACATCTGGACAACACATTTCACCTTCAAGACCACCACAGAAGAAACACCAAAATATCTTCAAAAGCAGGGCATGAATAGGCGCAGGAGAGCACCCTCTTCTCCCCTGTGGTCAGACAAGCAAATCACTCTTTTTAGCAAGCAGAGTTGCAGTTTCCCTCCTCATCCTGTGTTGTCCTGCTCAAAAAGGCTGTGACACTGAATGCAGCTGGCTGACTTGCAAGAAGATCATGCTATGGATGGCGTCACCATGGGCACACCCTGCCCTCCTCCCCAGCACCATGCGTAGAGTGAGGCAGTGCTTGGTTCTCACTTCCCTCATGCACCGAGGGAGGGGATTGGTTTCAGGAGCTGGAGGGAGCCACAGTTCAGCAGAGGCAGGTGCCAAGTTCTGCTAGTTTTAGTCTCACCAAGGGCTCGGCTCAGCTGGCACCTCCCAGCGACCTGCTGCAAAGTGTTGACAGGAATTCTAGTAGCACTCAGGAAGGCCCAGGAGAAGTTAAAATGTGCTGAAAGACAGGCAAGCTACACTCCCACTGCTATCTTTAGCCTGGCTTCCTAGGAAGATAGAATCATACTGTCTGTCTGTCCATCTGCCTGCCAGCCTGTCCATCTGTCTGCCAGTATCCTCTCCGCCCACACATCCCCAGTAATTTTTGAACCCATTGCCCAATTTCAGACAAAATTGACGGACAACTCCAAGCTCATAAGAGCTCATGCATTTCATGAAAACCAGCTGTAGGGTAGAGGAGAAAGATGAAAATAAATGTTGTAGTGAGCTAAAGAGCTTTCTCTTCTGCTTTGGGTTCCAGATGGCAAATCAGCACAGATGTACTGGCCAGACACCTGTTATGTGTAGGGACTCAGAACAGATGCAACACTTGTTTCCTTGTCTCATCACTAATGAGGGGACATGGAAGAGAGCTAAAGTTTTAGGGCTTGGCATATAAGATAGACCCATCCTATTTTGCATGGCCATACCTTAGGTACAAGAAGGATTGACACTTCTGACTGTCTTGCACTCCACTTTTATGTTGGGTGGTCACAGTTTTTAATACTATCCACAGTAAGCATGCGCTAGGTTGACTCACCATTGCCAGCCAAACCAGAGGTGAACAAGACCGAGCCTAGGTTTGGTGTTGCATGATTTTTCAAAAGGCTTTGTCACTCATAAGAGATGAGATCACTAAAATTTTGTGTCATTAAGGTACATATGCAGTGGAAAACAAGGTCATACATGCGCACATAAACCTATGAATGATAAACCACAACTTCATGCATTACTATTCTTTATACACAGTTCCTGAAGGCACGCACTGTGACATGGGTCCAGCTTTCATGGTACCTGTTATTGACAGTAGGACCCCAACATTTGTTAGCAGCAGAGGGATGGAGCAGCCAGGGACCTTCTGTTCCATTTCACGTTCTCAAGAATGTGGCTCTAGTAGGTTATTTCCCCAAAACAAGTGGGTTTTGCCCTACTCCCTCCAACTTTTCCCTGTACTCAACTGCCCTCCTGTCTACTGTCTCCTTCCCCTGGATTTATCGTCCTTTCGTCTTGGCCAACATCTTCTACTCTCTCTCATGGCAACTTGCTTT